CACAGGACTAATTAGAAGGCTGGCTATGCAGACCCCATAAGTAAGGTGAATATGAGAACAATAAGCTGTGTACTACTAGGAGGGGCAGTAGCCACGAGGCCATGGAGGCCCTGCCACACCTTCCTATCCCTCCCCAGCAGGCATCCTAACAGGCTGCTGCTCCCTGCACTGCAAAACACCCTCATTCCCACTGGCACCTTCAGCACATCCAGCATGCTCAGTCCGGACATTGCTCTAGCCCTTTGTCTAGGGTAATCCTGCCTAGTGATCCCAATGCATTCTCTGGCGATGATCCATCAAGGTGCTCTTTCCTCTGCATTCCTGCCATGCCCATGCCTTCTGTTAGTCACAGTCTAGTTTGGGGCAGCTGCATGTCCAGACTCCAACCTTGTGTACAGGCCCTGCTGACCTCCAACCCATCTCTATTTGCAGCAACCAGAGATCCACCAGGATGAATCTCTCCCTCTCAGTTCCCTCAATGGGTATGTCAGCTGCAGCCCCAGGGCCCAGCTAAAAGTGCCTCACAATCTCCCTTAGCCTGCCCCTATTCTTTAATATACTCAATTATTCTTCCAGTGTTACGTACAGTACTATGCAAATGCAGTTTCCAGCCCTTCCTTCTATCATGATTGCCAGCCACTCTAGATCCCATTTACACATAAATTCTGAAACCAGCTATCCCATTCTTAGCACTCAGTTCACTGTATCGTCCTTGCCTGTGTATCTGTCTGTTTTGATGAAATGAACCAATCTGCTCTGCACATAACTGTATCTCCAAGCACCCACCACCCTGCCTGGCACCTGGTAGACACTCAAATGCTGGCTATGTGGTAGCTGATTCATTGGCACTGACAGTGGATGGGGTTCCCTTGAGAAAGAAGAGGACAGCTTTTCCAAGGGCCACAGGGCTTGGAGCTATGGCTAGTGGGACACCAATCAGGGACCTTCTCTTGGGCCATTCATGTGCATACACTTGGCAAAATCCCTATAAGAGCCCAGACACTCAAAATTCAGGGAGCTTGTGGAGCTACCTTGGGGATTCTCAGGAAAGGAACACTCCAATTGCCCTGACAGCTGGGCATAGATCACACAGAGGCCTTATGATTCTGTGACAGTCTATGGTTCCAGTGAGCTCTCTTCCTGCCTCTGGCTCAGTACCCTAGACTGCAAGAAAATACTTACCTTCCTCACACCTATAAGAGACTGACTCCTGTTAAAGTTTCAGCACAGGAAACCCTTAAACAATCAGGGCACTCATGAAACCACTGGAATAGTTAATCATGAAGTCTTTTATTATCTAAGCAATGAATACATGCATATTGATCCCAGCAATATTGATTAGAACTGTGAGGGAGTTGCTTGTCAAAGAGCCCTATCTTCAGCCCCTGAGAATAGAGGAGCCTGAGTTATCAGTGCTCAAATCACTGTTGATGAGGAAGAACTGCTCCATCTGTTCTGGCAGCTGTATAAATGCCTGCATATCCACATGCATTTGTCACCTTCCCATCAACTCCAATCACAAAGGCAAACCTGAGACACTTAATTCTGAAGGGCAGGACACTAATCCTGTTTATGGCATTCTTTTCCCTATGGCACCAAATGATTAACGGTGTCACCCGCTGTCATGTCCCCAGAGGCATGTGGCTATACTACACAACCCTTGCTCACAGAGCTGGGGTTCACAAGCTGCACTCTGATTGGCTTGGATCAGAGAACTGTTCTTCTACTCTAGCCAATCACGAAAAATATCTCTCTCCATTCATAAAACACCACATTAAAGTGAGTCAGATGATTAAAAAACCTGCAGTCCACTCAGTGAACTAAGGGATTGCAAACAGAAGAGACAGACCAACTGAGATAGTAAATAAATTGTAAGCCATGTATTTTGTTCCAGGAGACCTGCCTTACTCCTGTGTTAGATTTTCAGTGGCAGGAAGAAACAAAACACAACCACAACTGTCATTCACCACAGGCAAGAAATAGTTTTGGAGAAGCTTGTCTGGGGTTGAAATTTCACCTCTGCAAACCCATTCCTTGATGTGCTTCCCAGAGATGCACTGAAGGAACTGTGCAGCTTTCTACTTTTTAACAGAAAGTCACTGCCTGCCTACTTTACAAAAACACTTTCCTACATATTCCTCTCTCTTTCAAAGGTTGTGCCAAACTCTAAGATAACCAACTAGTCTAATATAAGGCCATTTAGAGAAAAGTTATGGGCAGGACTCTGATCAGGCTTAGCATGTGGAATCCACTCAGTATTTATTGAGTAGACGTGTTCCCAATAAGAATAAAAAGAACACCTGATCCTGTCTCTCTCAGGCTTAGAACACTTCAGCGGTTCTTATTGCTCTTAGGATACAGTGTGGGTCTGCCCAGGATCCTTTGTAATTTGTCCTGTTTGTCCCTCCCTGAAGCCTCATCTGATTCCCCACCAGGACTTAGTCATCCCGAGCCTCTGGCAGTTCCCCACATAACCTCTGTCCTTTTCTTCTAAGATGCACACATGTGGTTCCCCAGGCCTCAAACACTTGTCCCTACCTGCCCTCCTTTGCCCAGCCAACTCCTACTTAACCTTTCCATGTCAGATAAGGGCTCACTGTCACTGCTGGGGGCTACTTGGGGCCTTCTGCATTGACCTCACAACAGCCACTTGCCTGCCTTCTACCTAACGTCAGCTCCCCCAGGGTAGGGGCTAGGCATTTCTTAATCATGGCTGTGTCCCCAGTGCCTGAACAGGAGCTAATTCTCAGGAAATATTTACGGAAAGACTGTGAGACACCGACCTGACAGGTTTGGTCCAAGGAAACAAGCTATGCGACTCTTAGGAATGAAGAGTTGACTCACTCAGGTTCATTTGTAATCGCTGAGGCAGGGTCCAATGGACCTCTAAATGTACAGAATGTGGGAAGAACCCACAGACAGATCTGAGCCTCACTCACTTTGCCCGTTCCTTGCCCATGTTCTGGGAATGGGGCTCTGAAAAGCCTGTCACAAATCCTTGGGGAGACTCAAATAAGAATCAGTGGCTGTTGCAATTCTGATGAACACCACATATAGAGTCTTGTTGGGTTCTTCAGCTTGAGGTTTTCAGTTTACATTTTAAAATATATCTCCTTTAGGTGACTTGGGCCGCATTAGCTCTGAAAGCAGGTCCCAGAATACATGCACTCTGAGCTTCTCAATGGGGGAAGGAAGGAGAGGCGCTCAAGTTCTCCTCTCTCAGGCACCAGAAGAAACAGCAGATGGAGATGGCACCACTCCCTGACACTGGCCCATTTGGTAAAAACTCAACCAGTGGCATGGTTGCGTATTAGAATGCCACATGTGAAGTTCCAGACAATTCTCAAAGTTTATATGTGTGTTAAATTGTGCCTTCTTCTAAAGGCCTCACCTCAAATAACTTTCATTTACACGCCCCTCCTAATGCCTTATCCAGGGATCAGCATTAACAATGGTAACAGATCAAAACCAAAGAACAGACCGGAGCGATTTCTCTCTCCTTGTAAAACCAGAAGGGGGAAGAATTTGAAGTCCTTCAAGAGTTTTGTTGTGTTTAAGAAAAAGTAAGTTTAAAAACATACTCTTCGTCATCGGAGAGTGTCTTGTGCAAGACCGAGATGCTGCTGCCCAACTTTGGTTAAATGTGTACAAAGGGTATTAATTCCAGTTGCAGGCATGAGGTGTCTATTCAGAGTTAACACCTCTGACAGCAGGCTAGTAACCTAACGCTGGCCTGCAGTAGGTGAATTCCACTTAATTTACAAATGGAGTCTCCCACTCAAACCTAAGACTGTTAAAAAATGCCCGACTCCCAGGAGCAGGGAGCTTCGGAACGAAGCACTCCCCCTCACTTTAACGGTAAAACCTCAAACCACAAAGGTGGAAGAAAAGAGGGAAGCTAACAGGAGTGCCCCCTTTGTCTATTCTTATGTGCTGTTTACTGGGTCATTAAAATCTTACAAGGACTTTACAGTAATTGTAATTGTTAAATTCAAGGTTTGTCCCAGTTGTTGTACAGAAGTCTCTCACTTTCAAACTCAGAAACATTTCCCCTAACATCTTGTCTAAAAGAAGCTTTCAAGCAAGGTACTGACCAGCTCCTTGAGTGATCTGTGGCCCCTGCAGAAGTGGGGGTGGGGAGCGCCATGTCGCACACCTGTTGTCAGGTGACACTGCCAGCAGCATCCTGCGCACTCACCTCCCCACTCCACCCCACCCCCAGCGAGGCTCTTTCCTGCTGGCCTTCTCCACCCAGGGAAGCCTACAGCCTTCCGGAGTTACCTTAAAAAAACAAAACAAAACAAAACAAAACCCTTCCTACCACAAAGCAAACAAAAGGCTGATACCGAGACCATCGGGAGCAGCGGGGGTTCCCGTGGCCCCCTCTCCAGTCCATCCTTGTACCACCTCCCCGACCCCGTCCCCCGCTGCAGCCCGGTTTCCGTCCCGTGAGCAGCTCCCGCCCTACCTTCCCTACAGATACCGAGCCGGACGCCTACACCTCGGCCCCCCAGGGCTCAGGCCCGACTTATTGTGCCCTGGCCAGCAACTCGCGGGCCGGCGGGAGCCTCACCAAGTACAACTCCGCGCACAGCAGCTCCCGGGCGCCCAGGCCCAGGCTGCCCAGCCAGCGCAGCGCGGCCTCCTGCGGCCTCGGGCCCGGCCCGTGCACCCGCCCCAGGAAGGGTCGCCAGGGGAGGCGCCAGTACTGCCTTTTTCCCACAAAAGCGCCCAGGCGCGGGCAGGGGATGCGTTTCGAAGAGAAGTTGGTTTCTGGGTTTGTTTTCTCAACAAAATCAAAGGGAATACCGCGCGGCCCGATAGGGCCTAGGAGGGCGTTGTGCGCGCGCGAGGACCGGGCGTGGGCCGCGCGGAGCCCAGCGGCCCGAGGCCGGCCGAGCGACACCCCGGTGTGCGCAGGCCGGGCCGCTCCCGGGCACTCGCGGGCGGACCGAGCGGCGAGGACGGGGCGTGTGGCAAGGGGGCCCCGCGGCACTTACGCGGCGGCGGCGGCGGCGGCGGCAGCTGCAAGGTGTCTCGGCTTGAGCCCTCCCGGCCGCTCGCGCCTTTTCTCTCTGCGCTCCTCGCTGGCCCGCCCGCCTCTTCGCTTCCCGCCCGCACGGCCCGCGCTCGCCCCCTCCGCCCGGCGCCGCTGCCGAGTGAACTGGAACCAGTCCTCGCGGCCGGCTTCCCACAATGCACAGCGCGCTGCTCGTCACATCCCATCTCTGCCCCGCGCGTCCGGCCTCCGCGCCCGCGCCGCCCGGCGCTCCAGCCTTGACCCCGGGCCCGCGCCCTGCCCACCGACGCCGGCCGCTGTGCGCCCAAGCACCCGCCCGCGCCTCGGACGCGACGTCCGACCCGTGACCCCGGGGGCGCCCCGAGCCCAGTCCTTGGGAGGGGCCAAGTTCTCCCCTCGAGAGGCGCTTCTCCAGGGCGCGTCCCAGCCTCTGCGTCTCGAGTGAGCGCCTGCTGTGTGCCTGGCCCTGAGCACCGGACTGTCGCCGCCACCGCATCCTTAGGAACCTTTTCACTAACCCAGTGGGGAGGCACAACGGCGGTTACCCGGGATCGTGATCACTCTTCCCTCCTCAGTCAATGCCAACCCTCCCAGCCCCCGCCTCAGAGGCCCCGCTGTCTTTAGATACAGGCCACCCCCAAGCCGGTGTCTGCCCCAAATCAATTACTACACACCCGGCTCCCCTGGGGTTCTTCAGTTAACCCCCATCACCCCGAAATCTGGAACCTGCCTTGCGCCTGGAAGCGGTTTCCTACTTCGCTTCAGCAAAAGTTCGTTTTCTGACTCAAGTTGGGAATTACTAATATAAACAGTGATTCTTTAGCATCACCCTCGTATTTTTAAAAACTACCGGCAGAAAGAGGAAGGGCCGCCACAAAGCCTGCCAAGCCTTCCTAAATTGGTTTACCACCTGAAGGCATTAGTGCCCCATCCCGGGTACTTAAATAGTGGTCTTCCCTCTACTCCCCTCCCTCCAAAGTGTGGAGCGGGAAGCCACTTCTCCATCCAGCTGTGAACTAAATTTGGATAGTAATACACATCCCTTAGGGTTGATGTGAAGTTTAAAGTGCCGCTGCTGGGGATTATGGAGGTAATTAGAGACCCCCAGTCCTCAGGCTGCTTGGGAATCGCAGTGGCGGTAACCTCCACCTCATTTGGATGCTTTACACCTTACTTTAAAAGTTTGCAAAACAATGTCCAATACTTGCCATTCATGCATTCGTTAATTCAATTAAATACTGAGAACGTATTTTGTGTCATACATCAATTTGGGTGCTGGGTATGAAGCACTCAAGGCAGAAATATCTATCCTCCTGGAGTTTGCAGTCTGGTGGGGGAAAGAAAAACGGGAGGATATGTCAGAGGGTCTTGATGCGGTGGAGAAAAATAAGGCGGAGAAGGGGAATAGGAAGTGTGAGATAGGAGTGTGAGATGAGAGGCTCAATTATGAGAGAAGGCCTCTCCGAGGAGCCAACATTTAAAGCAAAGGCCTGAAGAAACTGAGGGAGCAAGCCTTGTGGGATGTCTGGGGAAGAATCGCTCCAAGCATGAGGAATAATAGCACGTGCAAAGGCTAGGAGTAGGAGTGTGTCCAAAATAGTCCAGACACAGCGAATATCTTGACTATGACTTACGTCTTAACTTTTGACTATATCTCTAGCTATGACTATGTCTTAACTTTTGAATTCAGTTAATACATTAAAATCCATTGGCCTATTTTGCATCTTGACTGGGTCCTTTAGCCATGCATGATTTGGTAAAATCATACATTGGTCATTTGTGAAATATCAGTTCACTGATTTATGCGGATTTTCCAAATGTAAACACATTCCATTGATCTCATCTGAAGGTTTTCAAGTATTGGGAAGTTGTCAAGCTCATGGTAACAGTTATGAGTTTCCCAAATTAGTGAATGGGTGAAGGTGAAAGTAACACGAGATGAAGCTGGAAAAATTATGATGCTTATGATTCTTCTGGTCCCAAAACAAAGCATTATTGATGTATGAGGATTTCCTAGGGAAGGGATGTCTGGAAAGGTGCAGAGACCCTCCCCCCATGCCCCACCTTGTGGTTCGATCCTTCTCTAGGTCCTTGGGCAAGGACTTTCAGTTCTTGAGGGCCCACCATGTGAAGTTAAAGTCTACACTCCTCCAGGAGCTGATCTTGGGGCGGCTCCACCTCCATGCCCCTCCACAGCATGCCATTCTTATAAAACACACTAGGACCTTCTTCCTAGTGTGTTCAATGCAGCAGCTCTGACCTCACCCTTCTCCAGAAGCCTCCACCTTCTCTCCCCTTTCCCTCCTGCACTTGGTAGTTCCTGTTCTTCCACTTCAGTGACCTGTCCCCTCCCCTAATCTGGCTCGGAGAAGTATACCAGCTGCTGCTGCTATTGCTTCTTCTTTTAAAGGTTTCTATTTTTCCCAACTACAAAAAAAAAAAAAAAAAAAAAGAAGTATGCTCACTCTGAAAATATGGAAAATAAAAATGCTCAAAAAATAAAAACCAATCTACGTTCATTGCTAGAACAGGCTGCTCCCATTCCAGCCTTTATATCTATTTCATATTAAACATATAGAGTTTCTACTCTGTTTAGTGATTGTTACCTGCATTTTAAACTTAATGGTGCTTTATGAGCATTTTACCGGGTAGTTATTCTACAATAACATTACTGGAACTGTTTGGGTTTCTCTTGACCCTCTTAAAAATTATTGAGAACCCTGAAGAGCTTTTGTTTTACAGGTTACATCTGTCAATATCTGCTTTATTAGAAATAAAAACTGAGAAAATGTGAATTTTTTTAAAATGTTAACATGTAAACAAGTTATATTACATAAATAATATATTTTAGGAGAATAATTGTATTTTTCAAAGAAAAATAGTGGGAAGAGTGGCATTGTTTACAATTTTGCACAACTCTCTAATGTCTGGTGTAATAGAAGATAGCTGGTTTCTTGTCGCTTCCTGCATTCAGTCGGTCACAGCATGTTTTGTTTGAAATATGTGGAGAAAATTCAGGCTTATGTAGATATGTATATGGGAAAGAATAGAGGATTTCAATCACCTTTTCAGACAATTAGAGATGTTATTCTTTTCCCCTACACCAAAATGCAAGAAGGAGTAGTTTCTTTTCTTTTCTTTTTTTTTTTTTTTGAGACAGAGTTTCGCTCTTGTTACCCAGGCTGGAGTGCAATGGCGCGATCTCGGCTCACCGCAACCTCTGCCTCCTGGGTTCAGGCAATTCTCCTGCCTCAGCCCCCTGAGTAGCTGGGATTACAGGCACACGCCACCATGCCCAGCTAATTTTTTGTATTTTTAGTAGAGACGGGGTTTCACCATGTTGACCAGGATGGTCTCGATCTGTTGACAGGAGTAATTTCTTAAAGGTTAAGTGCAATGTAAAACCTGAAAAAAAGTCAATAAACTTTTTGACTCAGTTAATACATTAAAATCCATTGGCCTATTTTATATTTTGTCTGGGTCCTTTAGCCATGCATGATTTAGTAAAATCATATATTGGCCATTTGGGAGATATCAGTTCACTGATTTATACAGATCTTCCAAATGTAAACACATTTCATTGTACAATGTTAGAAAATCGCATCTATTAATAGCACCACTGATGTCATCTGAAGGTTTTCAAGTATTGGGAAATTGTCAAGCTCATGTTAGCAGATATGGGTTTCCCAAAATTGTAATTTCTGCTTGAAAGCTCAAGTTTATCACTGACAACATACTGTCACAGTGATTTTCCTAGAAGGAACAGGTTCATTTCATTCATTTTCAAGAAAATGTCTATCACAAATGAAGGACCGCATTATGACTTTAAAAAGGCCATAGGCATTTTTGCCTTCACAGGCCCCTTCCTCCACTAAAAAGACAACTGCACTGGTATAAAGACAAGTACATTAATATTATATATTAAGACTGTGCCTCATGGAGCATTCAGCCCTACATACACCCAATTCTGAATACCCATAGTTTGTCTGTCAGGTGTAGTTTCTCCATTAGAAACACTACCCAGGCCCCCAGGACTTTATGGGACCACAAAAATATCTAAATTTCTTTTAAAATCAGAATAAGGCTGGGTGCGCTGGCTCACGCCTGTAGTTCCAGCCCTTTGGGAGGCCAAGGTGGGCGGATCATGAGATCAAGAGATCGAGACCATTCTGGCTAACATAGTGAAAACCCCGTCTCTATTAAAAATAAAAAATTAGCCAGGCATGGTGGCATGTGCCTGTAATCTCAGCTACGCGGGAGGCTGAGGCAGGAACATCGATTGAACACAGGAGACGGAGGTTGTAGTGAGCCAAGATTGTGCCACTGCACTCCAGCCTGAGTGACAGAGTGAGACTCCATCTCAAAAAATAAATAGAATAAAATGAAGGTTAGTTCTTTTATATTGAAGAAAATATTTTAATATATAATGTTAATATATTTGTCTTTTTACAAACAGTTGTAATTTTTTTTTTCTATCGTTTTATAGAAGAGGGAATTCAGGAAGGTAAAGTGCCTAGGGCCATGACAGTGTAACACAGCCCTGCTGTCAGTCCTTCTTTCAAGAAACACTGGGATTCCATGAGAAAAGCAGCTAGTTCAACTCACAGCTCAGTCGCACATGTGCTTTTCTTCAAGGCGACCATCCTAGCAGAAGTGCTTTATGCATACTTCCCTTTGGGTCACATGGAATATTTTAAATTGTGTTCCAAAGTGTCAGATTTAATAAAATTAATACTTTTTACTATTTCATCAAGGACATTCTTAAGTTAAACTGGCTCTTTTTATTTGTATGTCTGTGAGTGCAAGGTAATAATAAAATAATAATAAATAATAAAAGTAAAATGATGATCATTGATGCCATTGCTAATTTGTGGTAAGTCACCAGCAGTTTTACCTACTATTGTTCTTGCACTATTTGTGCAAAGATCAGCACAGTAAAAGCCAAATAATTTTAATGTTAACATAAAAATAGACCCTGAGCCCTCCAGAAAGGGCCTCAGTGACCTTTGGGGGTCTGCAGACCACATTTCGAGAAGCACTGCTTCACAACATCCACAAGCTGGGCCATTGTTAATTTAACAAACTCCTTATTTTTTCTTCTTTCAGGCTGCTTCCAACTCTATTATAAAGGCGTTATGAATATTCTTAAAGATTGGCCAGGCGCAGTGGCTCACGCCTATTATCCCAGCACTTTGACAGGCCAAGGTGGGCGAATTCCTGAGGTCAGAAGTTTGAGAGCAGCCTGGCCAACATGGTGAAACCCCATCTCTACTAAAACTACAAAAATTAGCTGGGTGTGGGAGTGTGGGCCTGTAACTGCAGCTACTCAGGAAGCTGAGGCAGGAGAATTGCTTAAACCCAGGAGGCAGAGGTGGCAGTGAGCTGAGATCATGCCACTGCACTCCAGCCTGGGTGACAGAGCGACACTGTCTCCCCCCAAAAAAGATATATATATATTTGTGTACATCTGGTTATCAAGGATACATTCTTAGAGGTGGAATTGCTGAATTAAAGATCCCAATTTAAAAGCTTTAACACAGGGCTCTCCAGAGAAGCTGGGACAGTGTTTGGGCCAATAGACAAGGCTGAGCATTCTGGTTTCCCCACAACCTTCTTGCCCTACCCTGAGTGTTCCCCAAGACCTATGATAATCTGAGAGTCAAACAATAGAGGTGTCACCATTTCCCTCAGTTTATCTTGACTTCCTTTGTGGGAGGACAGAGTAGGTCTCCTAAACTTTTGATCAACACACTTCAAACCAAGAGGAATGTGTGTGCATTGCATGAGTGGGGTAGCCAGGGAGGGGACATCCGGAAAGAAAGCCTCAGGCAAACCTTCCATACTTCTCCCTCAGTGTCCTCTGCCCTCCACTAACAAACATGTGCTTTATTCCATGAACAGATTCATTCGGCATCTTTGCAAGCCGAAGCCTTTCTTCCTCACTTGATTACTGCAGGGATGGGTTCTTTCTCTTTGATCTGCAATT